ACCTTCATGATATGTCAGATAGAGGAATTTTCAAATGCACACCAATAATTTATAACAGCACAAATCACTAGTTTTGGTGCCACCAGATCACAATGTGTTTTCATCATCTAAATGTTCGTTTTCAGGTCTTTCCTTCCTCCAAGGAAGGTCATCATCCCCTAGAAAAATTTATCAAATAATCGACTAGCTATTTGATCATTCCCATCATAAGTTTTATTGAATTCACTTTGATTATAAGACAGTTCGGATCATGAAATTGCATTGTGGATGTTGGCCTACGACGGTGATTCGTGATTTTTTAAGTTACATATGGTGTGCATTTTGAAAAATTTCTGATGTCGTACATCTAAGTGTCATTGTCAACCAAGTACTATTGATTAATTATGTGGCATCTTCTTTAAATTTAGATTAATCTGCTGACTTAATTAACATGTTTATATATCTATCCGGGTGTGAGTCACCATAGGAGTTGAAATTAAGTCCAGCAAAATTCCACAGAAATGATTTGAACTTTGAATGTGAGCGTATATATATCCTGCATAATCATATGCCTCATTTGTTGAATTTACTGGTGTCATGTGGTTTCCAAGAGTTAATAATTATGGTGTTCAAAGCTATATACAACATAGTCAAAAGTTGGACTTATAATTAGAGTAGAATATCTTGCATGAAATGGAAATCCTTCCCCACCCCTACCTGAACTTGACTAGGATTTAATTTAACTTTTTCTGAGTTTATAAACCTTTTTAGAGCTGGGTTTGTTAACTTATGTGGAGCATGTGTACTACTGATCAAGACATGTGAATGAATTGTCTCCTCTGATACAAATATCTGATATACAGTTGAGTTATATAAGCTTTGAGCATTCAACCTACAATATTGAAATAGGATATAATGTGTGAAGAGACCAAAGTTTTATACACTAATTATCGCTATGGTACATAGTAAGAGTTCCTACTTTCCTGCTAATAGCAGTGTGACATGTGTGCATACATTTTTCTTTTTGTGTTTTTGATGAATTATTTTTACATATGTGTAATTCGCAGGAAAGAGGAGTATCTCCTTACATGTAAAGAGGCAAGCAATATCCAATATTTTTCTTTCTTTTGTACATTTAAAATCCAACTTCAAACAATAATTGAAACATACGTGCTTGGATGACATCTTCTACTTGTATGTGTTGCTAGGTTTGCATGATCTGTGGGATCTATAGAAATTATATAAATAATTTTACTTATTTATTTAATTCATTTTATTTTGGTAGGCTAGGTACAATATTACAGTTTGCGTTGGCTGAGGTTCCTATCCTAATATATCTTTGGATCCTCTCACCTGCAACTAAAAATGCGATGTGCCAACTTATGAATGTTTGTCTTCCATCAAACACCATGCATGCACTGTGCACATTGGCCTTCCACTCATCCCCCCCCACCCACGGTTTGGGCGACAGCCAGTATATTTCAAAGGGTTTGCCGACTTTCCCTATTTGCTTCACCAATAATGCATTTTCTTTCCTTTATTTATTTATTTTCCACCCATTTTGTCAACTTAATTTTGTCAACTTCGCTCTGATTATATTACAAGACACATTTCAAGAATCTTTCGTGGCCAATAATGTGACCCAAGGTCTTGTCAAAACAATTATATTAATAATGTACATTAATTTCCCTGTAAAAACATGATTGATTAATTAAAAAAATAATTCATTTAAATTAATCACTCCCTTCCACCGGCCACAACTAATTCAAACAAAATAATTAAAATCGCTAAACTCCTCCTCCTATATATATGTATAAAAACCAAGGTGGTTCAGTTTTAATTTCAGTCCAAATTAATTGCATGCCATACAATTTACAAAATGGTTCGTCTAATTCCAGAAGTTGCAGCCAATGACCACTTTGGCTCAATGCCGCTAGCAATGGCCTTGTTCATCTCTGTCACAGCCCTTGTGGCTCTATGTGCCAAAGCCAAACATGGACGCCGAGCCCCACAACAAATCAATGAAACCAATTGCAAGGAAATTACTGGTAGCTCCAAGAAACTCGTGGCCAGCATCAGCAACAAGGCAATTCCATTTCTGCACAAAAATAAAGGTGGCAGAGAAAATTGCAGCCAAGGGGATGAAGTTGAAGATGGGTTTGGAGAAGGAGGGGTTTGGCAGAGGTCAATTTTGATGGGGGACAAGTGTCAGCCACCTGAATTTTCAGGTGCGATTTATTATGATAGTTCCGGGAATCAGCTTTCTGAGCTGCCTCCAAGGTCACCTAGGGTAGCCAGTCCCTTGCCAATGCCTAGCTTTTTATCTCCCGTCGCTAGAGATGCAAATTAACTAGGCGAATTTAATTTCATATGAAGTTTTTTTTATGACGAGCAAAAGCAATCCATTTACTGTCTCAGATCAATTTTTTCGTCTCTTGCTTTACACTTCAATGTCAATCTTAACGTCAATTTCGTTCATTTTTCACTTAAAATGAGATAGTATCATCAAGTAAGGTAAGGATGACACTCACCATGCGGACATGCTAGAACCTTCCAATCATATGTGGCCACATGTCCATCTTAAAAAGAAAAAAAGAAAAAAAGAATTTAGGATGGGACTCACCATGTGTTTCCGTTTGGTTATTGAGAAAATTGATCTCGTTATCAATTGTAAAAGTGGATGTTCTAGAATGTATCTTTTTTCCTTAATAATGAGTTGGGAGGTGTAATTAGTGGTGGTCTTTGTGTAATATGGTAGTTAATTACCTCACAACTTGCAAGCCACACAAGGCTTAGAAAGACAATTTCTTTTTTTGGCAAAAAAAAATAAAGACAATTCCCTTTTCACCAACAAATGCTACAAAAAAGATGGATGCACATTTGATGTGATCTGTAATTCAATTGGTAATTCCCTTTATATGACAATAAAATTGTGTCATCAAAAGAACAGGCAGGGTGGCATTTGTTTTTCACCCCAAAAAAAAGGTGTGAAAAAGTAGGTAGAATGGGGTAAATAAAAAAGAGTTGATGAACTTTTAACTGAAGCCACGTAAAAGATAAATCTTAGCTTTTCATCCCCTTCAAATAAAAATAAATAGTAACAAGAATCTCATAAACCCCCAAGCCCAACTCCACTCCTCTGTCTGCTTTCACCTACTTCTGAGTTTTGACCCACCCAATGGCTTTGCTTCTCCTTCCAAATACCATCTCTTTTTCCCTTCTTACAACACCGCCGAAGGTACCCAGAAGTAGAACAAGAACAAGATTTGCGAGACACCGCCGGTTTCTGGCCTTGGCGGCTTCTCCGGAGTCAAAGGATGACAAGACTGCTTCTTCTCAGAAATCAACAAAGTTGGTCACTTTTTTGGGAAAAGGTGGCTCCGGCAAGACCACCTCCGCCGTTTTCGCTGCCCAGGTATCTCTGTCTGTCTCTACATTGTATCCTAGCTCGGTCTATATATAATTTACTGCCTAGTATGAATGAATTTGGTTTCTAACTTGTGTCTGAGTTAAAACTAAGAAAATAGTAGATACCCAAGTCAGAAAGCTAGTGCCTTTGGTTGAAATTATGGTTGTGGCAAGTGTTTAATTATACTAATATTTCCTTTTTATGATGATTGACGGGGTTTTCTATTTAACATATTATATTCGTTAAGGGATAAGCCTAGAAGAAGAGACTTGGCTCAAGCATTTCATTTTAGCTGATTATATATGCTTGTGGATATTGTATCTCAGAATTCTGACTTTCAAGGTTTAAGCATAGAATTACAACTTCAATTTGCACCTCTTCTTTTACTGTTACTTTTTGTTTAATGTTTTTCTCATGTTGGATTTTCAGCACTTTGCAATGGCAGGGTTTAGCACATGCTTGGTGATACACACTCAAGATCCCACTGCTGAGTTCTTTCTAAACTGCAAAATCGGAAGTTCTCCTACACTATGCAACAGCAACCTTTCGGCTCTTAGATTTGAAACCACCCAAGTGTGTTTTCCAAATTCCCTTTTCTGTTTTCCCTTTTTCATTCCATTCCAATAATGAATCTATGTGAAGAAGTTTGCTGCAAGTCACCTTAGACTCAAATTGAACCATTCTTGATCGTCTAGATGCTTCTAGGACCTCTGAAAGAGCTAAAGCAAGCGGATGCTCGTCTTAATACGACACAAGGAGTTCTTGAAGGGGTAGGTACGTAATATCATTTGAGGGGTTTAGTTGCATTTGAATGTTTTATCTGCAGGGGCCTTTATGATGTGTCTTTCTTTTCAATTGATCAGATAGTGGGAGAAGAGCTTGGGGTGCTTCCTGGGATGGATCCTATTTTTTCCGCATTAGCACTTGAGAGGCTTGTTGGATTTTTTAGGAATGCGGCCCAAAGAAACCACAACAAAGATAAATTTGATGTAATAGTATATGATGGTCTGAGCTCTGAGGAAATGCTACGAATGATTAGTGCAGCCAGTAAAGCAAGGTCCAGGGAGTTTCATCTCTCTCTCTCTCTCTCAAACATTCTTTCACATTCATATGTTCATATTGATAAATTGACATGGGCCACATGTCTATGCACCAGGCTGTACTTGAAATATCTGCGTAATGCAGCTGAGAAAACTGATATTGGGAGGTTGGCGGGTCCTTCAGTTTTGAGGCTTGTGGATGAAGCCATGAGTATTAGCAGCAGTACACCCCATCGCAATGGGAAAATGAGCGCAGAAATATGGGACATTCTGGAACAAATGTTGGAGGTATGAATAATCCATATTTCCTATGACCAGAGTTTTTATGTACATCCATTGACATCCTGCATTGTTTCTGTGGTGCAGAGAGGGTCGTCTGCTTTCTCAGAACCTCAGAAATTTGGCTGCTACCTAGTGATTGACCCAGACAACCCAGCATCTGTTGCTACTGCTTTACGTTATTGGGGTTGCTCAATCCAAGCTGGTGCACAGGTCTCCGGAGCCTTTGCGATTGCTTCACGACATGTGAATACAGAATCAGAGGAAAGACTCAAGAAAACCTTTTCACCCTTGCCTTTTGCTTTCATTCCACATCTCCCCTTTGGTTCCCCTCTAGATTGGAATGCGATCATACTGAACACTGTCAATGAAAATGCACGGAATCTTCTTTCTTTGCCTGCAAGTGGCAGCAGTAGTGTAACACCCTCAGTGAAGTTTGATGCAGCCAGAAAATCAGTAACCCTTTTCATGCCAGGTTTTGACAAGTCAGAGGTCAAGCTGTACCAAGTATGCTAAGATATACTTAATTATTTAGTTCTTACCTATCTTTTTCGTTTTTTTGTTTGACTTGCCTCTTTCTCTAAGCTTCCTATGGAGTAACTTTCTCTAAGCTTCCTATGGAGTAAATCTGCAGTTAGTCTTAGAGATGTTCGAGATAATTTCTTAACCATATGCACCTGCAGCCAAGTGTTATAACCCCGTGAGCCTTAATGCATTGAGCATTAAGTAGCTTCAATTTGATAGAGAATACAAGTGTCGATTTGAATATTTTAGCAGTGGATCTGATGACAAATTGCTGATAAAGTTCTCCATTATGCTTTTTTTCTTTTCGTCCTGGTGGCAGATCATATTATTATTGTGATACTTATCTCTGCCATTTGTCGTGCACATTTTTTTTAGTGTGTGATATTGAGCATTTATTTATCTGCAAATGCAGTATAGGGGAGGATCTGAGTTGTTGGTGGAAGCTGGGGATCAAAGACGTGTAATTCAGCTGCCTTCTAAAATTCAAGGGAAAGTCGGAGGTGCCAAGTTCAACTTCATAGACAGAAGTCTTGTAATCACAATGCGATAGTGTAATCAGATTCTGATAATTTCATATATTTATAATCAATTGAGATGTATCATGTACCTCTTAGAGAAAAAGAGAGAGGGATTAGGAAAGCCGACATTTGTTTCTCTATAATCTCAATAAAGGTGGTTGGTTCTCACAATCAAGCCGACATTTATTTCACTATAATCTCAATACTATGATTATATTCTGTTGCGAAGCATATGAAATAAAGCTTGCACAACAACTCTTAGAAATTACTCTTCATGTGAATAATCTTTCTAACTTAATTTTCGTTTGGTTTGAATTGGACTTGTCCTCGTAATAAATGCTCAATAAACATGAAATTTACAACAGAAACAGGAGATTAAAAAGGAAAAAAAAAAGTTCAATTAATTTACGGCTCCTGCTTATTGTCTTCTGTTTGTCCGCTGACGCGGCCCCTTAGCTCTTCGAATGCCTTCATGCTCTCTGCATCAAAGCCTCCAGCAAACTGCAAACAGTTCCAAGTTAGCATTTCATTTTTATATTATTTTTCTTTAAGATTTCAAAATTTTCACATTTGAAAACTGTGTAATGTGGGGATTCGATGGCCATCGTTGTCTATCAAAAGTTGTTTATCAAAAGCTAACACAATTTATTGCTGATTATGTTGAGCAATATTGACAACCTTAAGGTCCACTGAACGCAAATTTAATCAGCATTAACATGAGCGAAAATCAATTATACCTGATGAACACGGAAAGCAAATCGCACTCCTTGTAGTAGTATAAACTCTCTGTTCGGTTCCTTCTCAGGTCCACTCAATGCATCAAGTTCTGAAGCTACACGTTTCATATACTTTCTTGCCAATTGAACAGATGAGAGCTTGATCTACAACGGTAAACATATTAAATGAGCTTGATCTTGCCAAATGACATGCAACAAAATCATAAAAATTATAAGCAGCAACTAAGCACAATGGGATTTTTCTCAGTTTGTGCAGCATACCTTGCCAACAACGCCTGAATCCAATAACCAATCAACTGGAATTCCGAATTCCTTGCACCGTGAAATAGCCATGTCCCTTGTACGCAAGAGAGCATATACACTCTGTTCCACCCTGGAAACAAAATAACAGAACGCTTTAGAACAAAGAACAAAATCAAAGAAATGTTCTTGCAACCAGCACGTCAATGCATGAAAAGAAAGTTCGTACTTTTCCAGCAATGAGTACATCTTCTTTAATGCAGCTTCGCATGGGAGTTTGGGATCATCAACAAAAGAGGAGACCTGCTTCTCCAATTTCATCAGGTCTTGATATTCAAATGCTGCTTCTCTTAGTGCGTCCACTTTTCCTTCAGGCCAATCAAAGTGCTTGAGGACAGCCCTTTCGTCAACCTACCAAAGGCAGCAAGAGAGATAAATAATTAATGAATATGTCTACAATATGAAGCAGCATGCCAATGCAGATTACCCAGATAGGAGGGCTTGTAAGTATACATATCGAATCTGGAAGGCACGAACAAGTTCAAGGATATTTTGAATGTTACAATAATAAGAGGGGAGCCCATATTGGAAACAAGTGTTGTAAGGAGTTCAGAGTTCATAATTTGGCAATAGAAGTGTCCTCTAACCATCTGGTGAGTGAAATGTTATCCTTTTTTTTTTTTGGTCTAAATGAAAGGAACCTCTGAAAGCAATATTTTATCCAGAGGAAAAATAATGGCATACCAAGAAGGAGAGCTCTTCATCTAGCCAGTTCACAAAGGCTACCAGATCTTCTATGTTTGTGAAGGAAGCTGCTCGAACTTCAGCTGCCAACGACATGACAAAATCACCTTGAGCTTCTACATCAGCTTTCACCTGTATCCAGCCCATACATTTTTTAGTATTTGAAGCATTGAGTACTAAACACCACAGTTCATGCCTCAGATAAGAAGATAAATGAAATTTAATATAAAAAAACGTTCTACTCACAGCTAATAGGAATGATGATTTGTTCTCAATCTCCCCAATCATGTTGCTCCTCGCATCAGATACATTAGATGATGAAGATATTAAAGATGATGTATCCTTCTTTGCTTCACGTTTCATCAATGACTGATAGAATTCAACCAGCTCAGGAGCACGGTGCACTTTATCAGCACTGCCTGCCCCCATTGGCAGGCTTCCTGGTGGAGGAGGTGGACGAGGTGGTCCACCAGGTGGTGGTGGCGGCAGTGGTGGGCCACCTGGTGGAGGAGGTGGTACTCCACTTGAGGGTTTGGGAGTTGTACCAGCACGGGCACCTCCAGATGCTTTAGGAGGCGGCCGAGGTATCCTAGGAGGCCTCTTCTCAATTTGGGCAAGTTTCATCTTGGTTATTGCTTGAGAATCAACAGCGTTACCATCGTTAGTTTGGTTGCTTGAATCACCCAAAATAACTGCCTTCTCCTTTATATGGGCAAGTTTTGGTGGTAAAGCTACTGGTCTCTCAGCTTTGGCTCTAGGTTCATATGTCAAATTTACATTTGATTTGTCACCAAACTTCTCTGCTCTTGCTTGCTGAGCCCTTTCATTAATTTGTTTTTCCCTTTCTAAGGCCAACTTATGCCGGTCTTTGTAAGCAGGATATTTCTCATCCAGAACTCTTTCAACCGACTTCGACATCAACTGGAAAGATGCTGCAACAGAATTAGGTGAGTCGCTAGAAGACATCTGTGTTCTAATGTTTGGAAGACTGGGAGTTTGAGGGGAGTCTGGAAGTTCCTGATCCACTTTCCCAAATGTAGTGATGGCTACACCGTCACCAGCATTCCTTATCATCAAGGATTCCAACGGACCCCTTGGTCGAACGCTCATACTTGCCCTGCTTGGAGAGCCTCCAGAGAGAGATCTACTTGGAGATGAAAAAGCACTAGAATCATCTTTGCTTTTACCCCATCTTTTCAGCTTTTGCATTATACTAGGTTTCTTGCTGAGACTACTATACCGACTTGTGGAACTATCAATAGAAACATTGTCAAAATCCTCACTTCCAGGGGAGGATGGATGAGAAAAGTTGCTTTCAATATCTGTATCCCCTTGCCCACGTTCTGATCCTGCATACTCCAACATCAGTTGTTTGGCCTTCTCCTGCGATTTGGGGCTCAGACTCTTGTTGAGATCACGAGCTGATACCTTTCCTTGAGGTGTCTGATAGTTCCGGAGCTCATACCTCAAGCATGCATTTACCCAACGAAGGTACACTAGCTCTTCAACTTCACTAAACCTGTTCATCTGAAGACCTTCCACTTGCTTTGACAGGTCCTCATTTGCATGCTTTAAATTATTGACCTCCTCTCTTACATTTGCAACCATATCACTCTGAAATAGCGAGGAAAAACACTGTAAGAATAAATTCAGACAAAAATGTTTACATGCAGTGATTACAACTTGTTCCATACATAATACTGGTTAAACAGCCTATGAAATTTCAACCAGCTTGCTGAATCAATTTCAATAAATAAATAAATTATTTAATCTTCGCATCTCTAAGTTTTAGTCTCAATTTTCAACTCAGAATAGTCAGGGACCATGTCTTAAACCAAAAATAGCTAAAGCTAAAAGAGAAACTACATGTCTGGCCGAAAAAACAAAATAGGAAGAAGAAAAAAAGAGGGGGGAAACTTACATGGCAATGTTTTAAATATTCTCCCTTCCTCCCATACACATTAAAAAAAATGACATAGACATAGTATGCAATGCAAGAAAGCACTGAGACTAACCTCAGTCATGTTGGAAAGGGCTGCTACTCTTGCTTCAGCAGCATTCAATTTAATAGTTAGTTCTCTCTTTTCGATTTGAAGTTCTTTGTTCTTTCTCTTGAGTTCCATGACTTCCACCTCTAACTCCTTTACAGCTTTCAGCTTCTTTTCAATTTCAGCATCTTTCTTGACTGCTTCTTCCTCTTTTGCCTGTAAACCAGAAACTTGTTGTTTGAGCAACAGTAGCTGGCCTTTTGTCTGGTTAGCATCAAGCTGAATCTGCCTCTGCAACTCCTTGAGTTTGTACCTTGCTGCCTCTAGCTCCTTCTTGGCTGAAACTCCCTGTGCAATCTCTTCTTGAAGCTTCTTCCTCTCAGTCTGCAGAGAGTTAATGGTAATATTGAGCATGCCAACCTCCACTGTCTTTATCTTGAGCTGCCTTTGTAATTCGGTGACGTCTGATTCCTGTTCCATCAATCCATAGTACTCAAGTAATTCACCTTCAAGCTTCACTTCTCTTTCCTCCAATTCCTTTACCAGATTACGCAACCGTTCCAGCTCACTTGCATTGTTTGCCATCTCAGTTTCATGTACATGTTTCTCTTTTGAATCCATCTTGTTAACAAGTAATGGGATTTCAATCTCCCCAGATAAAAGATCTTTAAATTCAGGTAAAATATCTTCATCTTCAATATCACCAGGTGAAATATCACGAGCACGGTCAAATATACTGCTAATTAATTTAACCTCTTCTTCTTCCTCCTCCTCTTCATCTTTCCCCTGCAGTTAAGTCAAAAAAATATAATCCTTTTTTATGAAAAGAAAAGGTAAAAAATTGCAAAACGTATAGGTAAAAGGAAGGGAACATAAGATTTGCTACCAATATTTTGATGTGGAAAAAGAGGAGAATTTGATAGAATTTTGTTATGTACTTACATCCTTTTCTCTGAGGCTATCATTAGAATATGTAAGTTGCTCTTCGTCTTCCTTCTCACTTTGATGTTTATAGTTTGGTTCGCCATTTTCTAAGTTAACAGTATCACCAGAAGAACTATAAGAACTCAGAATGACTCGCAATGAATATAACTCATATCTGGAATAAGATTACTAAATATGGCTCAGTTTCAATAAATCAACTGATAAAAGGCCAGGAACTGTTTTGGGAAAATAATAAAGACGTAATAGATATGAAACTCGTTGAGATGAATACCTGAATGCCTGCTTGTTGAGGCTGAGTTTTTGACGTTGTGCTGCCTCGCTGCAAAGGCAGCAATAGAAGCAGCAACCAAGAGGCCTAACCTGACTATCATGAAGGTATTGCAAATAGGCAAAGCTCAAGTCCTCACTCATCTATAAAGATAACCCAATTCCAAAACACCCCGCCACCCCATAACTGATAATTCAAACCATTAACGCCTTAGAAATGCAGCAAGAGCAACCCAGAATCTGTAATTCCCATGAGAGCTTAAGAAGACAAGCCTTTTCCTATAACCATATCCAATCATGCACATCCCAGACGAGTTTAAAGAACTTGCATTTATAAGTATAATTAATATCCAAATCTAGCTATGAAGTATAAACATTCCCACACCATCAGCTATCATCTTCTTATCAGGTTTATAGACCTTTCACTCGAGAAGGCTTTGCTCTGTCGGAAGTTCTTGATAAGTAGAATTCTAGCACAGCTCTTAATGCTAAGAGCTACAGCAACCACCAATATCTAGTGGCCAATCTTCTCCAAAAGGTTTTACAATTCACATTTGGGTGGGTCCAAACATGTCACTGAAGATTTTAAGGATCATATATCGCTAAACAAGCCAAAAACCAAAACTGCAAAGTGAAAAGACACAAGTAACTTCAAAGTAAATTTGAACTCTTAGTTATGTTTATCTATGTTCGGCCGTTAAATGGGTGGGCATCTTTGTCTAAACTATGTCACTGGCCTGGCCCAAAGAATAAATATTTCTGTTTGGTTTGTGTTCACTTGATTGAATTAAGCTTTTAGATTGATCAGAGCTCAAAGACAATATGACCAATCATTGCCATCTGATCCATTTGGTAGGCTTGGTACAGTTATTATTGTATGGCAGAGGATCTACAAAAATAAACATTGATAAAAGCAATTTTAGAAAGTGGGTCCAGATTTCCCAAATCAAAGGACTCGTAAGTTAGAGGGATGCTTTGTTTGGCTTATCACAGAATGAAGATTGGAAATTAGAAAGTGGGTTGATGACTGAAGATGCGGCTGGAATTTAATTCTCAGCCGCTAGCTTGATGGACTGGAGCAATGGAAGCCGTGTAGCCAAACACAAAGCAAAATAAACCAAACTTTTGGGTGATTGACCTCAAACCCACTCGTATGCCTTTTTGGCATTTCATTAAAGCTTTGTTCTTTTGTGGTTGGTTTTGTGTGTATAAGCAGGTAAACAAGAATACATTATTTTCACTAACAATTCTGTTCAATCTTGTGATACCCAGTTAAAAAAACTAAAGACAAGTCTACTCTTTTACTCATCCCAGTGTAGCTTTGTGATACAGAAATTGATCCCGAAGTGTAAATTATGACGGAAATGAAAAAAAGGCATAAAACAGAAGGTCAGGAATTATAGATAAGATTGAAGATGGAGATGTGGTCGAAGTCTGGCCAGCAAGATGACCCATGACAACAGAATCAGAGGCTATGCCTCCCAACTCCATCCATTGAAGGAGTTGTTTGGCCGAGGAATTTTTTGTTGTGAACTTGTCAAGAATCAAGAGGATATTATTCAAAGAGAATGCAGATAAGTGTTGAGCAAAGCAGAAAGAGAACAAGAAAATCGTTTTCTGGGTTATGAATTATGTGGGCTCCACGGCCACAGCAGAAGACAAACTCTATTATCTATAATAAAGTTGGATTTTTGGGGCTCTTGTTGCTCCATATGCCTCGTATTGGTAGGAAGCAAAGAGCTTGCAAGGCCTGAGAAGAGGAAACTACAACATACTCACCACTGCAAATCAGAAAATGATGGGTTTTCTTTTCACCAAATGAAACAAACTGGTGTCACTTTCGTGATTTAATTTGGGGAGTTTCACTAAAACACCCAAAATGGGGGTTGAAATTATAAAAAAACTCAAGCACTATTTAAACATATAAACACACCCAAAACCCATCATTACACACACTCAAAACCCATTTATAAACACACCCAAAAAGTTGACTTTGGGGTTAATTTTGGGTGTGTTTCTATGTTGAAATAGTGCTTGAGTTTTTTTATAAATACATGTCTAGGATTGGGTTTATTTATAAATTTGTATTTAATTTATCCAATTGAGAGTACAAAACCAGACATAAACATAAAAAAATACATGAGATTTGGAGCTGGGTAAAAGTAAAAGCATACCATCCGGGCTTCACTTGAACTGATAGAGCAAGCAAACGTACAGTTGGGCTTGGTCTTGTTGGTCATGGCCAAAAGCTAGGATTTTCGCCAGAGAGAGAGAAACAGAGCAAGTCAAACAAGCGAAGGACTTGGGAAGAAAGAACTGAGCGAACGAGCGAGCGGGAATAACTTTTTGACCGCTTTGCGTTCATGTTTTTGTCTACAACATGCGAAATTACCATTTTACCCCATCTGGATGTGATTGTATATTTTCTAGCTACTCCATAATGGCAATATGAAAATTACGTGCTACCGTGGGGATTTCTTGTTATTTTTCTGCTTCGCATATCAAGTGCCCACAGTTGCTAATTTATTATGACCTCCTTCTGTAGCCACTTCTTGCTCTTGCTACTCCATAATGCCAATATGAAAAATGAATATCGCATTATTTTCCAGAACTTAATAATTTTTCTTCAATACTTAACACTATACGTTATGCACAAATTTATTAAAATTCCTCATCCCAATCGCATCCCGCCTTCAAAAGTTGTACAAGGAAATCCTGGTACACAGCAAAACAATCAGAAATTCCTTGTGTATCCCTCCACTCATGATTTTACATAACTAGTCAATAGGGGCCAAGGATGATCACGCCTGGCTATCCCATTTCCACCTTCGTCCAACCTCCTCGAGTACCTTGGCACGGGCTTGGCTTTTTCTGGCTTCGTCCTCTACCCAAGATCTGCATCATTGCTTAAAATGATTAGAAGAAAAAAAAACATATTCATGCCATTTCACAATATGATTGAAAGTTTTCATGACAAGACATTTTCAAGCACGCTCTCTAGTAAATATATGCCCATGCATTATTATGAATAGTTGCAATCACGGTCGATACCTAAGAATCCGAATAGCTTCTATCTCAGCTTCGAGTATAGATTTCGCATCAAGCATACTTTCCTGCTTGGTCTCCAAATCACTGAGCATATCCTGCAAATCACACTTCTCGGCTACATAAGTAGACCTCTCGGATGCAAGCTTTTCTGATATCTCATTGACCTCTTCCTTGAGACTGAGAAGTAACTGCCTCTGACATTCCATAGCTGCCTTCTCCTTCAAAATCTCGGCAAAATTCTTTTCTTGTAAAATCTTCTCCTGCTCCAAATCACTAAGGGCAGCAAGATAAGCCTTCTCCATCTCAAGACCACGGGTTTTCTCTTCATTCAGTTTATCATTCCAAAACCTCTGTATGTCCTCTCTGTCAAGCAATTCGGACCTGATATCTTCCATCTCTGCCTTCCTTGCAGAATTTTCAGCTTTTATTCTCAACAATTCAGAAGCAATTGCTTCTGTGATCCTGCCACTTGCCAGTGCCACTGCTGCTTGTGCTTTTGTTGAAGGTTTGTTTGGTTGAAACCGCCTGCACTGTCCTGCAAGATAATTATGTCATGGGGTTCTTAGAACAAACCTCATACCATATAATGGGATAGAAAAAAACAAGTAAACATTTATGACCAGCCTACGCATCTGCTTATTAGTTTTCAACGACTGTAACAATAAAGTATTGATCAAGTTTGTAACAAATCTTTATTTTCTTCTACTTTTAAAGGCTAAAACAACCCTTATTTTCCTACATTGTATCTTCAAATGATCTCTGGACATGGTACTGAGTTTGCACCCTGTGAATAGATATCAGTAACGAAAGCTCACCAAAACTTATAAAAAAGCAATTTAAACATATGTATAGATGTGTTTCTTTATGTATGTATCTTTGTTTGTAGGTGATGTTTGCATGCTTGAAATTGTTGAATTAATTTATGGAAACAGAAAATTGGGAATACCAAAAACTTTTCTGAGTATGCTATTATCCTCTGCCAACATGTCAGTATATAGTCCTGCTGGAGCTTCTGAACTGATCTCTTTCACATCCATAAAACCTACTGTTGTTGTTGTTGATATCTGGACTGTAAATAAGTCAGATTTTAAAACCTATGATTGAAGAGGCATGATTTATACCAATTGATGACAATGACTGATATCCTCTTTACCTTCTCTATTACTCCTGGCAAAAAGTCATACTCCAAATGGGCTTTCCAGTCAATCAGATCTTGTCGAGAGATAAACCTGCAGCACCATTTATTTTTTGAGTATGGAAAGAAATTCAAGATATTAAACAAAAAGTCAAGCATACACTCCACCTCTCAGGGGAAAAATTGATGTTTCCATGGTCTTTTAGACCGTCATAATTGGAGCTCTTCTGTGATAACTTGCTGGGAATGACACCAGCCTCAGCCAGGGCTTAGGGACAAGAAAAGGAAGCACATATTCAAACTTCAATATTTGTAAAACAAAGACCTTTCAAATTGCAGGCAAAGGGATCAATTCTTACCTTGAATGGACCCAAAATCCGGGTCTTCGACACTCACGTCATTAAATGCAGTAATTGCAGACCCA